GCCTCGTCAGTAACGATACCGCTGTTGAACGTGCTCAGGGTGTTCATTGGTGCATAGAATCTGACACACTTCAGTTCAGGATCATAATGCAAGATAAACCCCTATCACGAAGAGGAATCCTGTCAACAGTCAGCTCAGCGTTTGACTCCCTCGGTTTGGTCGCTCCATTCATTCTGGTAGGCAAGCAAATTCTGCAAGAGCTGTGCCGTGATGGTGTCCGCTGGGATGACGAAGTTCCTGACAAGTTAAGACCCAAATGGGAGAAGTGGAGAGCTGAACTTCCGGCTTTAGAAAGGCTCAGAGTAGCAAGATGTCACAAGCCTCAAGAGTTTGACAAAGTTATGAACGTAGAGCTGCACCACTTCTCGGACACTTGTCAGAATGGCTATGGGCAGTGTTCCTACATCCGACTGGTTGATGACAAGAATCGTGTTCATTGTTCCCTGGTGATGGGAAAGTCGCGTGTAACGCCCCTTAAACCAGTGACGACACCCAGACTAGAACTGACTGCTGCTGTCGTCTCATCAAAGATCAGTTGCATGCTGCGGAAGGAACTGGAGTACGCAGAGATGAAAGAAGTCTTCTGGACCGATAGTAGAACGGTGTTAGGATACATCAGCAACGACACCAGAAGGTTTCATGTGTTCGTTGGCAATCGCATCCAACAAATACGCGAGCGGACATCCCCTAACCAGTGGCACTACGTAGGAACAAAATCCAATCCTGCAGATATCGCCTCCCGCGGTACTGGTGCCCAAGAGCTAATCGACAACACTTTGTGGTGGAATGGGCCGGATTTTCTCTGGAACTCTGTGGATGACACTCCCTCAATTCCTCCTGATGACCCAGAGGTCAGGAACGTTTCTGTAAGAGCAACTCAGATTCAAGAGCCAAAGCTATCATCTCTATTGGAGCGCTTGACTTATTTCTCCAACTGGCATCGACTAAGGAAAGCGATTGCTGTCTGTCTCCGATTGCAACAAAGATTCCAAAAGACAGCTGCTGGAGGACAGAAAGAAAAGAAGAGAAATGAAAGGATCGCTACATACAAGCCGGTTGATGTCAAGGAACTACAACATGCTGAGCTGCAAACCATCAAGATAGTGCAGAACAAAGCGTTCCAAGATGAAATTCAATTGCTGAGGGATGCTAATATCAAATCACCAGCCGCCGACCAAGATGCCAGCAAAGAAAAGATGAAGACGATGAAGAGGTCGAGTTCGCTCTACAAACTTGACCCCTTTCTAGACGAAGAAGGCATACTACGAGTTGGTGGGTGATTGAGACAGTCAAGCATCGCTTATGATGTGAAACACCCTGTCATTCTGCCCAAGAAAGGACATGTGACGAATCTTATCCTCTCCCACTTTCACCAGCTAATTAAACATCAAGGTCGTGGCATTACTCAGAATGAAATCAGATCAAGTGGCTATCGGATTGTTGGTGGAAGTTCCATAGTGTCCAACCATATTTCCAAATGTGTGTCTTGCCGGAAGCTGAGAGGCCGTCCTCAAGAACAGATGATGCCAAACCTACCTGAAGATCGCCTAGAGCTCGCACCACCTTT